TGAAGTACTCGGTGCATACCGAAGTGCTGCAGATTTCTGACTCAGAGATTTAGGAAAAACACAGTAGAGAACCAAGGAAATCACAGTGGAACAGAGAAAAAAATACAGTCGAATAAATAAAGAAAACTTTTATCGAAGAAATTCTAATTATTAGAAAGTAATTAGCTGGCGTAATCAATGCGTAGTTGCATAGGAGCATGAGCAAGATTTATCATCAATTGACCGCTGGCCGCTAGGTACCTGGGTGGGCGAGCGACAATACGTAAGCGGTGGCATATGGTTCGATTGACAGAGGAGTGGGGAACGGTCAGACGTAGGGGAAAGGTTCAGGCTGAACCGTTCAGCACAGCGCAGCGTCAGTCACCGGGTGGGGAAGAGAGTCCGGGAGGGGACACTTCCCCTCGAGTGAAATAGAAAAAGGCAGAATCCTTCGAAGTTTATATTAATGATGATGACAAGTTTTGATTGGTTTTACAGGAAAAAATAAACATTTTTATTTGAAACAAATAAATTCAACAAAAAGTATGTAGCCGTCATTCTCGATTACCAAGATCATCTTCTTAGTAAAAAAAAAGAAAAAATAAGGACAAAAATAATGATGGAGTAAAAATAGACCATCTCATCAGTGAAAAAAAAAAAGAAGAAGAAGCAAAAAATAGAATATAACATAGAAACAAATTTTGCACACAAAAATTTAATTTCACACGTGAGAGCTATTGTATTCAATGACAGCTCTCAGAGGCGGGTCTATGTTTTTTTTTTCGGGAACAAGCGAATGAGTCTGTGCACTATGATTTTGTACAAAATTGGTCAAAATATAAGGTTCGGAAGACCCATTCAAATTACTCTTCCCGGTTACAGAGAGCTATCATTGAATACAATAGCTCTCACGTGTGAAATTTAACTTTTGTGTGCAACACTTGTCTTTATGTTGTTAAGCGCGGTGTGCATACGCCGTGCTTATTGGCCAGGTTGCGTAAACCCGCGGCTGATGCATGTATCACCACCCATTGAATCGTGGGTAATTTTAAAGCCGTTCCTGTGGCGGGAAGGTAGTTGAAATTATGAATCATCATAGCAAATTAATCAGATCATTTAAGCTGTTGGATAACTTGATTAAATCGATCTCGTATCGAACTGAGTACACTTTTCATTACTTGATTAGTTGAAATCTGTGAATCATTTCACTGTTCCCTCTTTTGTTCCGACCAAACTGCTGTTTAAAATTTTTCCATAAAATTACACGTGCAAGTATGAAGAAACCGTCGTCTTCGGTTCGACTACTTCTAATTGGTCAATACCTTGATTTGAGCGTTTCTAATTGGTCCATCGTTTGCGGAATGTTACTGTGAATTTATGACGACTTGCTTCACGATAGCTTATTCAATCCCCTATCAATACAGTAGTCAAATTTAAGTTGTATCATTTACTTCCATGTATAAAACTTATTTTTAAATAATGGTCAATTGAAGGTGGCGTAAATCGAGTGTTTACATCATATACCTACTTTTAATTGAAGTCAAGCAGGTGTCATTAATCATTTAAAACCCCTTAATTGAATAATTTCGTGTTAGTGGTAGTTCTTGATTAAAAAATGTTGCTCTTGAGAAGCCGCCATTAGCCCACCTAAAATTTTAAAAATGAAAATAAAGAAATAATTACCATCGCACAAGGTGGAAAATTGCTCTGGAGGACTCGTTACTGACAAAGTAGCCAAAATCAGAACTCGATGGATTGATTTAATTCTTGAATACGCAAATATTGGATCAGCTCAAATTCCGCGATAGCGAATGCATGCTGGGATGAACCTCGAGACACATGAAAGCATGTGTTAATTATAGCTCAAGAGGAATCCGCTCAGCCCGTCCTCTCATATCACGGCAGCGGCACAAAAGCGTCAAGGACAAATCTTGTGAAGCCCCTTCCATCGTCCGAGTCAGTTAAATACTCTTTTTTCTGACCCCAGCATGAATAGCAGTGATAGCTCAGTTGTCTACGCTCACTCACGCTAACTCGCCCATGAAGGAAGGGCAAACGGGGTTCGATTCTCGCTGATGAGAGGTGATTTTGACTGATTGTATTGAATGTTTTAGACCATTATTCAATCCCCTATCAATACTGTAACCAAATTTAAGTTGTATCATTTACTTCCTTGTATAAAACTTATTTTTAAATAATGGTCAGTTGAAGGTGGCGTAAATCGAGTTTTTACATCATATACCTAATTTTAATGGAAGTTAAAGTGTCATTAATCATTTAAAACCCCTTAATCGAATAATTTCGTGTTAGTGGCAGTTCAGATAAAGAACCAACTTGATTATGAATCATGCCGCGCTTATCCAACACCTCGTGTTGGACTTCCCTGCTTGTATTCTGTTGTTTTTTTACTGATGAGATGGTCTATTTTTACCGTATCATTCTTTTTGTTCTTCTTATTTTTTTCTTTTTTTCTTATTTTTTTTTTTACTAAGAAGATGACCTGGGTAATCGAGAATGACGGCTACGTACTTTTTGTAGAATTTATTTGTTTCAAATAAAATGTTTCTTTTTTCCTGTAAAACCAATCAAAACTTGTCATTCATTTCTATGCCTGAAAATTGAAGGGTCAAATTTTTGCGTGGTAGCCAAGTCACTGAAATACATCGTCAAAAATCGCTCAAAAGTCGCTAAAAATCGTGTTTTTCTGGCT